CAGTAGAGTACTACAAGGGATTGTTCGTGGTCCACAGTTTTTCTCACATGTTAACGAGATATTCCAGAGCATAAGACACGGTGCTACTTTTCTGTTCTCCTCCACATTATGGGTCCTTTACCAATGCACTCACAGAAGCGAAACGTGCTATTTTCTACCTGTTCCCACCGCAAATGGCCAGAGGCTATTCCGTGCGGGGACGTAACTACAGTCATCAGGCCATGATCAAGTACGATACAAGGATTCCGGTCAGTTGCCCATTGATTCTGTGTGTAGGGAAAAAACTAGTGAGAATTCAGTTTCAGATTCTCATGAGAATTCTGAGCAGAGTCAGCCTTCAGGAACATCCGCCAGATTGCAACAGAAATCTCAACAGAATTACAGAAATCTGGAGTTGCATTCAGGCGGCGGAGGATGTGATGATTCATTATTGTTATCCTTATCTCCATTTGACTTAGTATATATATATATATATATATATATATATATATATATATATATATATATTGTCGCGAAATGCGTATTCCAATTCGGTGGTTCATACTACGAGTCGAGACTAGATTGTTTGGAGCCTAATTCTATTTCGATTCCGAACCTATCATACCCAGCCATTTGCTCATGCAACCGATTGGTTGCGATGCTAACGCCTACCTATTCGATCGTTACGCGCATATGTGCAGACAGCTTTTGCTTACATCCGTTATGTTGCTGCTCTGGCCTGCTGCTTTTGCGGAATACAACAAAGTCCAAATTTTAATAAGTGCACCAAATATAATGTCCATCGGTGAAGCGATAGAGTAACGGCATATGTTAGGCAGGTTGTCGGAGTGGGATCATGACGGGAATAACGAAATAACAATGTGTACTGCTTCATATACATTGCAAAGAACAAACAGATAGCTCACTCGTCCGCACAGATTAACGCATGTTGCCGTGGGTCATAAATCCAAACTATTAGGCGGCCACAACAGTTTCGAGACGTGAGGTAGACCTGTGGCATGTCACGCGGAAAGCTGATGAAATCAGTCCGCCCATATGACACTGGTTGCTACGCGAGAGGCTTGAGCTGGAATGCAGCTGGCCAGTGGAGACCGCTAGCAGGTTTGAATCTGATTAGAAGAGTGAGGTCAGTCAGCCCAGAAAGTTGCAACCCAAGCGGATGGCATGTGACCTATAAAGGTAGCAGTGTTCTACTCCTACTACACTTCGGTCTGGCAGGCCTCGCTTTTCTGATTTTTTCCGGCTGGATTTGCGGTGTAGAGAGCAGAGGCAAAAGCAGCTTCACAACACACAGTGGCTAGTTAGCCTAAAATTATCCAGATAATTTGTTAATATAACAAATTCTAAAGGGCTCAGTTCCACTTCCCATCCTATTTTTGGGAATGGTTAGGGTGAGGTTGTAGTTTACCTTTCACATTTTATCACATAAGCTTCCGGTCAGCTGATAATATCGCCAGCTGTATCGACTATTCTTGCAAACTCTTCACACATCGATAAACTTTCTTTTTGTATCGCCGGCTGACTCTAGACTACCTCTTGTATAACATCTGGGAGCTCCAAATATGCATTTATGGGAATACACGTATTCACTCCCTTTTGGCATCCAAGAATGACGGGTTTTAAACCAGGAACTCCGCAAGCAAAAGACGTAACAAAATACGATAAGTGGTGACCCCGACAAGGTCACAGGCAACTGAGTTTGGAAGTACATTCCAGGGTTGGCAGACCCGGAGAGACAAATACGTATTGTTTTGCTCAGTTTAAGCTATTGCCTCTGAGGTTGGTGTACGGACTGAGTTTCAAAATTCGCCGGCATACATGACCAGGGTCGCTCAGTATTTTTTTAGCCTATAATGAAGTCCCTACGAAGCCACCGGTGGCGTCCATTAACACTCCCATTGCCTTCAGTTTGCATGGAAAGGAAGTTGGCGTAATCCCTTGACAAATTTCATTGCACAACGTTAGGAAGGAAATTTCAGGTGCTGCAAGGTCACACTTTAGCCAAGGATGCAAAGCCTGGAATGTGTACTCTACATGGAGACGCACGTAGGCGTTGAGCATCAGAGAAGATGGATGAATCCAAACTCCCGAATGCCCTATGCAACAAATCAACATGCTGCTTACAACATTTTGATACGGACTCTGACTGCCTGACCCTGCCTGACCCTGACTGCCTGTCCTGTACCAGCAAACCGAGAGCGCTTCGCTTCAGCTCATGCGTCACAAGTTTGTAGATGTAGGCGTGTCGATGGCGGATGTGTACAACGCGGCACTTGTTCCTCACCGACCAGTTCCAAACGTCATCGAGGTGGCACTGAAAAACCTCCTAATCATCCATTCACTTAATCGCTCGCCAGAACTTAACGACGTCCGCCAAATGTACTAATTTGCGGTTCGCAACTTCCGCTAGATCGTTCTTGAAAATTAAGTATAGGCGAGACCCAAGTACCGAACGCTGCGTTGCGCTATACACTACTAGTATGGGGTTGGACAGAGATGCTCAAAGTCTAACTTCCAATTGCCATTCACGGAGAAATTTACCTAGTCATCTCAATACTGGATCTCCGATACGTAGTGCCAAAGTTTGTATTTGACGATTCAAGCGATCGAAGGCTTTCGAAAACTCCATTTAGATAACATCGATTCCTGTCCCCTTGCCGACTGTTTCCGTCCAGTTGTCACGTGATATCAGCATATTTGTGGTTCGTGGTCGAGGTTGACGAAACCCGTGTTGCTCCAGTGTTGAGATGCTGTAGCTTTCCAGGTATCCCATCAGTACGTCCGCGATGATCGCTTCCATGACTTTGGCGAGCACATGGTAGAGCGTTCCTTGGCGGTAATTGTCAGGATCATATAGATTTCTGCCCTTGTGAGCGAAGGTTAATATATCCCAGTTAGATGATGCGGCAACTACGTTTCTTCTAGACAATGCTGAAATAATGCGGCGAGTGGTTGCGCTACGTGAATGGCTGCTACCTGCAGTGCTTTAGGGTGAATGTTATCCACTCCAAGAAGGCTACGTTTAAGCAAGAATAGTAGCTTTTTCAGCAGCATTTCTCCTGTGGAATGTGATACTGTCTAACATTGTGGGTGCAGTGACAAAACAAATATGTCCTTCGAGGCTTGTGCTCTTTGGAAAGTAGGCAAGTGCTGGCCACCTATTGCACTGTATGTGTCTCCACATAAAGCGAATTGTGTGGTAGGATACCGCGCTACAACTTACGGAGTATATTCACGACTTTGTAAACAAGCTTATGGTTCGCACAGAATCGTTTCGGCAGCTTCTTTTGGGGTATTGTCTTGTCTTCAAGCACCAGTTTCACCGAAAAGTTGCGCTGAGCTGCATAAGCTGTCCACTTTTCTGCACTAGGATTGTTTTTCTAAATGCACCAGGTCCGATCCCTCTGAGCCATAAATTTTCGTGTTTGGCTTCTCAGAAACCATGTTGGATTCTTGGGATGATGGAAAGCTGTTGGTTCTGATGCTTTTGTGACTAAGGATGTGAATGTTTTTAAAAATGCTTCCAAAGCTTATTTCGATTGTACTCAGTCATTATTATTCTAAATAGGCTTTTCAACGGATGAGGAAAAATCGTGACAATGCGTAATAGCTTGCATCTTTTCGACCTATGTATCGGGGAACTCAACATAGCAAATGTAATCGAACAGTAAATACACTTGACAGCTTCGACCCAAACGACCGCATATATATTTAGCCCAACAACCATGAGCTCCTCGCTGGTGAGCACTAGATGCAACAATGATGGCTTATTCGCTGTTCTGAACCTGGTAGGAGCGGTGACGTGGTCGCATAGAGGAGTGCCATGGCGCTTGTTCATCTAGATGATTGACTCACTGTATATCGGAACATTTCAAAATCTGGATCAATTAATCTACTAGGCTTAGATACATGTCAGGAACAATCCCCGTGAACCGTATTGGTTTTCATCCGATGCATCTGGCAACAAGTGATCTAGCTACAAAGCAGGGGATTCATTGCTATAAAACCTTGTGATCTATCAAATTCATATTCCACAAATTTCATACAAGATATTTAAATATGCGACAGTTACTTGACGAAAAATACTGGGAATTAAGTACATTTAGAAAACCGTTAGATCACGGAATCACAACGCTAACAGAATAGAGTAAAATATAATTTGTATTAGTACATGCCACCTATAAAGTGACGACTAGTTTCTGGAATTATATTATGCCGCTGTCTACTGAGTTTGAATATTCGTTTTAAAACTAGCACTGGTCATCTTACAAGCGAACAGTCAAAACATGCAAATTCCCAACGTCACCAGATCCAAACAATTAATCGAGTAAGAACTGCAGGTTTTATCGTAAAGCTTAATGTCAAAAAGCAAATTAGACAGTGACTTGGCTATCCGAATTCACTGAGGAAACCTGTATTAATGAGTACCCTACGGCGAGGCATGAGAAGTTATATGCAGTAGTGTCGAAGGAAGAAATCATGGCGAAGGTTTGTTTAGGACATAGTCTAAGTAAAGAGCACATTTGCATTTGCTATATAATATTCGCACTAGAAATGCAATTAATGGCTTCATTTAACTAATGATCCAATGGAGACAGACAGCTGACGAATGCAAATTTTGCCGACTCGCACGAGGAAAGCGACCTTGTGGCAACTCAAGGACAGTCTGGTTTCTAATTGAAAATGACACGATATGCGGAACACACGGAACCATCGCAATAATTTTATTTAAATATATGACCAATTTCTGATATAAATTGTAAAGCATAATCAGCCAGAATCAAGTCGACTTCTGGTATACACGTGTGATCATGATGAACAAGTTGGCCATATTGTTTGCTGCTCTGATTCATTTGGCACCTGTTGTTTGGAGCACGAATTTCACAAGTTGCGGTGAGTTAATTAATGACACTGAAAGCCGTTCCTTCATTTGGACGGTGCCAAACTCATCGACATTGCGGCATTGCATTGTACATTTTGCACTCCACTCAATAGTGTACATGCTAACCAACGTCTCCGTTGCAGGATCAGAGATTGGCTCGCTGGTTAATGTGTCCATAAAACCTTGCAACACAGAGCCGTGCATGCTGTATACGGAAACCACTGTAGAGTTAAATATCCAATTTACGGCAAGTAAGTTCGCATCCTGTGTTCTACTCGTGTAACGTGTTGTTGGATGAGGATGACATCTAGTCGTTTTTCATTCTCTATCTCCGCTTTCACAGAAAAACTAATCCAACGTGGTCAGGCGGCGATCAACGCGACGTTTTATGGATACTCGTTTAGGTTGGGACTTTATAATGACAGCCTATGTGCCTACACTCAGCCTGGCTGCCCTGTCCAAGCGGACGGAACCGTTTACACTTACACGTATGCGGTTTATATTTCACCAAGCTTCATCCCGGTAAGCCTCGGCAATATGTGATTCGCCACTTTGTATTAGCGACAATTTGCTGCGATTTTGATTGAAAATTGACCAAGGAAATGAATTACTTGTCTAACTGTTTGTAACAGCAGCACATGTGAAATATCCTGATTTTAACACAGATATTTTCATGGTGCTAGCAACATCCGCAATTGTTAAAGTTTATTCAGCCTACAATTGTTATTATGTCTCTCCTCAAATTCATGAATCAGGGGTGTCTTCCTAGATAGTGTGTTCTTGAGGTCTTCACTAAATTAAACGCACGGTCTGTAGAGTGTTAACCTTGTTTACAATTACAATTGTTTCGTGGAAAAGCAGTAACGGCTTAAACAAATTTGTGCTTGTCAAACTGATGAATATGTGTCCACTCGAATGTCTACTCTGTTTCCAAACCACTTCACTGCGAGAGGACGTGTGTATTCATACCTGCATGCGTTTCCACGTTTATGAATAACCCTAGTAGAGCAGAATCTGAGAAACAGCCTCTAATCACTGATCCAAATTGAAACCACAAATTTTTTAACCTGTTAGTACACATGGTTCATCTTTTCATTATGTGCATAAACACGCTATCACTTCATTCATTTTGCAGATGCCGATGGGGATAAGATGGACGCTGTCGTCCAACAACGAGACTTTGGCGTGTGCGGATTTCCAAATAAGGATCGTAAATCCTATACCGACCGTAAACAGAGTACCCCCGGTCGCTGCTCCTTAATTTGCTGTTTGACATTGTGATTCCTCCCTGTACGGATATTCCGCTTTAATAATTGTTGATGTTGATTCAGTAGCCTAATACAGACAGTGTAGCAGATATTTGTAGGTCTTATACTCAGCCGAATATGCTCAAATGCAAAGAGTTAAAATAGGCTAATCA